CAAATTCTTTTGACAGTTTATAAATAAATAATTATTATACTGTTTTTAAAATATTGATAATTTCATTCAAGAATTGATTTGCGAAGGGCAATGATATTACTAGAGAAAGTGAACAAGCTCATTGACGTTCAATCGAATTGCACTGCACACTACCTAACCACCGTGAAATAGACTAATTTGCGAGGCTTGCCATGCGAGGCGACGCGACGGGTTCATTTGGACGTAGCGAGACGCTGTCATCATGTTCGAAGGCATTACTTAAGCTCGGCATAACGATATTCAATTATGTTGTCGCCAATTCTGTCAGACGTGTTCCTCAAGAACACAGAACTTGAGGGCAATCGGTAATTGCTCGCCGACTAACGTCGATAGCTGAAGCGACTGCGCCGCAATTCCCTTAACTCAACCGAAGTGGAAACGCGAAGCTTTGTAACACGCGGAACGCGTCGTGACCGTGAAAGTCCATCGAGGATTCAGACGGAATTTTAATTTCAATTTTTACTGTCATTGGTATGCGGACTTGGATTTCGTCCGTCAGAATCATTAAACAGTAAATTGCCATTGATTATTTTCAACAGACAATTTTTATTTATTTCTCGATATCAAATATAGCTGAAGTACTCGGGTAGCAAGATAACGTGAACGTAACCGTTGATGAAATAAACGGTTTGAAATAAAGATGGAACGAATGAGGCGTGAAGAAAATAGCGTCGCCGGAGCTAGACGTTCCCGACGACTTCCCTCGCTTCCAACCCCTTTCCTCGATGAAATTCTCCCCAACGCGGCACGGTGCGACGTGGCGAACGGTATTAAATTTTTTTGCTCCGTCGAGGACACATATTTCACCAACAGGACAACAATAATGAGGCGGGTGAATTCTCGGCAAAGCCACGTTACGGCCGAACGCGTCCATCGATCGACGTCGTTGTTGCACATCGAGAAAAATGTTCATTGAATTTTTTTTATTTGAGGGTCTGACGTTACTTTATAGACTACATATTTTGATAAGTAAACCAAATGCGTCTTTAATTTGTGCAATGCGTGAATATTACAGGAATGTCCCAACTATACGTGTGATTGTAACATAAATTGCAATAATGAAGTGCAATCAGTTTTTGTCAGAGAAGGTTGGACTGGACAAAATGAATGTGGGAAGCGTGCCTAAAATAGCGCGCTCTTGAATATGTAAAGACACAAGACTATGTATATACTATACGTATAGAAGATAAAGAGAATGAAATATTGCAAGTGGAATAAAAAATATTTCATGATTCTCGATGATTAAAAATATTTCCTTCTATGAAGAATTCTATAAAAACCACCCAATTTTATTTGAAAGATACAACCGGAAATACTGAATGGAACATTGAATCAAAATGTTTTTCCACATTGAAGTTTCAAAAGCAGTCCAGTTTTGTGGTTCAGTCTCTTTTGTACAATCATACTACGTCGAACGGAAATTAATACATTTGAAAGAATGAATGATTTGAAGTGAAGAGTTATCCGTGTGAGAATCGATTAGCGAGCACGAGGACACGGCTCATGGCGACGACGTAACGTTTACACGCGATTCGCCCATCGGAAGAGACGCATTTGCATGTGAGCCGCGCGGAAAATCCGTGCTTCCGACTTGATTTCAAAGGCATCATCCGCCACGAACTGTTCGATCGACTCCTGAACACCTGTTGTGATTCTCTCGAACGGCATCGGCCATTTTCTCCCCGTGTTCTAGAAATTTCAATATTTGCCAAACGCGATTCGATTCGACCAGCTTACATAGATATAAGAGCAGTAGATATCTGAAAAGTTTCGGTCCGATTTTACGAACTTTTCAAAACCACCACAATTTTATTTCCTGCGAAATATCTCGTGAATTCTCTGAGTCTAAGTATGTTCTAACTTCTTCCATTTTCTAGGCATTCAGTTTTCCATTTATTTTACTTCATTGTGAAACTCTATTCCCATCCTTCGTACCAGACATCGATTTTACCACAAGTTTCCATTTATACTGCTAACGTCTCTCTAAAGTTTTTCATTTACTTTTGCATAAGACCAATTATTATAAATGAAATTATTGAGATTAAAGATATGAGCATTGTTTGTAGAAACATATAGATATAATTCGATATGACTATCCTTAACGGTATTAATTGGACAAATTTTTGATAAAATGTTAATGATCGAATTTGCGTCAAATTTATTTTCAGAAAAAATTGTACGAAATGGTGAGCTCAAAAAACATTTTTCATTTGGACGAGAGCGATGCTTTTATTTTGGCACTGGCGTATTAATTAATACGAAACGGACCTGTGCAAGTTATGCATAAAAATTTTGTACAAATAACGCGACTGGCGGAACCATTTCTCAGAAATTCTCTTTCCCAGTTACATTTCATAAAGTTGACATCCCTGAAAATTTGTTACGGATGCTAATTAACAAAATTCCGGATGTAACGCAGACGCAGACATAAATTTCACAGAATATTATGAACACGCTTCATCAATTTCATAATTACATGAAATTTTCCAATGCTGTTTACATTTGCATTGAATCATAAATTATTATTTATGAAAATTATTATTCGTAGAACAGCATTTCTGAAATTGTAACATTTTTCATTTGGACGAGAGCGATGCTTTTATTTTGGCACTGGCGTATTAATTAATACGAAACGGACCTGTGCAAGTTATGCATAAAAATTTTGTACAAATAACGCGACTGGCGGAACCATTTCTCAGAAATTCTCTTTCCCAGTTACATTTCATAAAGTTGACATCCCTGAAAATTTGTTACGGATGCTAATTAACAAAATTCCGGATGTAACGCAGACGCAGACATAAATTTCACAGAATATTATGAACACGCTTCATCAATTTCATAATTACATGAAATTTTCCAATGCTGTTTACATTTGCATTGAATCATAAATTATTATTTATGAAAATTATTATTCGTAGAACAGCATTTCTGAAATTGCCTTTTAAATTTGCTGGATTGCTTTATTGAATTCGAAACGATCAATAATTTTATCGTGTTACCAGAGCAAAGTGAATCCAGTCAATCATAAAGTAATTAAGACAGGCAACTATCTAATCAAGTGACCAGAGAAGCATAATCGCTGGAGGCACGCGACACTTCGCTGTCGTCGTCGGTCAGTATCAACACGGAGTGGTAATTACCGAGAGGAATTAAGCAAGTCGGATCCACTAATACCAGCGAGAGGAGATGTGGGCGAATCCAGTTAACCGACAAAGGGATAAGGACTATAATCGCCGGAAAGTCGCGGTTGTGTTACTGTGTAACACGACAGAAATTCAATTCGAAATCATGAAGATCGGCTTCATGCTCTCCTCAAAGGAGCACAGACTCGCGAACGGACACAGCCATTGGTAATTCTCGGTCCGTCCGTGAAGCTCTTCCTTGATTGGGGCTTGTAACAACTTCTATATACTGCGAGCGTGAGTCTGACTGCTGTGGAAGTTTGTTAGTGGAAGATGGAATTGTTTCTTGAACGTTCAGCAATTTTCTGGGAAATTGTCCGATGATAATTCTAGTTACGAAGACGTTCGGAGAATGTGAACGGTGTTTGAAAAGTTATGCACATTTTCGAATAAAGATAATTCTATGAAAATGTATAGAAACAGACTTATAAATATTACATGTTGTGTTATTCAAGAACATGAAACGGAATTTGATATTGCGAAACATACTGAACTATTTATATAATTGATCTAAATGCAGTGGTAGTATAAAATGAACTGCTCTGCAATACAATGTTAACAAAAAGACAGATATTCTTTGATAGGTAATCGATAAATAAAAAATTATATTCTCACAAAGCATGATTGAGAGGAAGCAAACGGCAGCCTCTAAGATCTCTATTTAGATCCCTATCCGTTCGTAACATCTTCGATTAAGACTACCAAACACTGTCAATCGGATAGAAGACAAATAAGCAGCTCTCTTTAAGCTCGCATTGTGTCAGACGCGTCTTTCAAGTAATTTATTTTCGCAATTTGTCGTTCGTAATCAAATTTCTCCCGTTAGTCATCCTCGGCTCGGAACGAACAAATACAGATTCTAGAGAGAGGATGCTGGTGTTAAAACGGAACCGCGGAATGGCTCGTTAATGGCAACGTTTAAAGAGCACTGTGACATGTGCTAAAGAGGCGCTTACACGTCCGCGACAACTGCTCGTTTTATTATGACCTATGACTATTCGATTGGCCATTATTCACTTGAGAGGTATACCTAACTCTCTTCTATCTATACGCGTAAAGTAGATATGTACATGCTACTCCAAGCGAGACAACGTTACAGTGATTTAAAACAAACGTTCCATTGGAATTTTCCTGGAATTTTGAATCCTCTTTATGACGTTGCATTCAATTCACTAAACCAATTAATTTTGACACTGATTAATTCTGATACCAAACTGTGGGATGAAAGGATATCTAATTAATTTTGATATTGGATAATTCATAATGATACCCATGAAAGATGATAAGTACTACAAACTAATTAATTTTAATGTCAATCAAGTTATAATAAAATAAATTGTTTGAGAGCACGAGAGATGGACACAATGGTTATTGATACTAATCATTATACATATCAGTTCATTAAAAAAACTAAAATTTTAACACATCTATTTTATATTAATGTTGGTTTTGCTTTTCAGGAAGACAATACGTATAGGTTCATATAAGCGAAGAATTTACAAGAATTCAATAATCACACTATGACACATATTTAATAACATTCTATCCACGTTCCCATTGCCATACTGCTGAAATACAGAACTGTTTGAAATATTGCTTTATTACTATTCTTGTTTAATGCATTGAAATATCTGTATGATCTGTATTGAGTATGCATCTGATCATCTATCATGAGTATCTGTTAGGATTTTGTAACAATATGATTACTCAGCATAACAGCGTGTACAGATATCAAATAAGTAATGAAATTATTTCTGTGAACCAATTATGAAAACTTACCAATAACACAGAATGTTCATGCACACGCTCTTTGATCCAATGCTTGAATATCCAAACAGGATCTGGAAAAAGAGAAATTATCAATTAATTAATTATTCCAAAAGAATTGTAATTATTACTCTCTTTGCATACGTATTCTTTCATCATATTTAATATAAAATAAAATTTCTTCCTTATTTTAATTATAAATAAATTATACACCCTGTTCAAAACTTGCTCATTTAAATGCATACAAAGAGTCATGTAAAGTACATATAAAATTTAATAAGACCATTATAATTAGCGAGCTTTTTCACCTATTCATTTGATATGCATGGAATAGATTTATTCTACACGTTATTCACATATCGCAGAACTCTTTTATTCGACTCAGCATAAAGAACGATATCAATTAACATCAGAGAAAAGTTTGATGAAAGAGACTGGCGAGTTTTTATTCATTCCTTCGTTCACTCGAATCCTCACTCACTTGAAGCGCACGATTCTCTCGGTGAAACGAACGTCGAATAAAATCCGCGCGTTTCACGTGAATCGCTCTTTAATCATGGAGGACAGCCTGACACTGTGCCATTGTTAATTACCCGTCCGGCATTCCCCGTGCGCTACCAGCGCACAGTGTTCAGATTAATTACCGGAATCTATTACGTGTTCACCGATCAGTATATCTTTTGTTATTGCCGCGTACTCATTCCGCTGTTTACATGCAAACAATCGCAATTATCTACGTACGTTCAAGAAATTCCATATCTTTAAAACTAGACAAAACTAGACTAAGATATTGTACACGTGTTAATTTACTTAATTGTTGCGTATAGTCAAGCTTTGTCATTTCCTACGTTCGCAATAGGGAACATGAAACGTACAGTTTAAAATTTCACATTTATGTAGGCTCGTGGAAATTTTTAACGCGTGTTTTTAAATCGAACGAAATTTCAAATGGAAACGTTTCCAAACGTTGAATTTCATAACATGAAATATTCAAGCTTTTAGGCAGCAGCTTCGCCAATATACATTTTTCATTTTAAATACCCGAAGCTTCAAATTGTTAAATATTTTAATTTTAAATAACGTGAAATTATGATCTCTCTTGTTTCTCTCTCTTGTTTTTTCCCCCCAATTTTCAACGTTCAGGAATCGCTGAAATAGAAGAGCACCCGACAAATTCTCTGCTTCAAAATTGATTTTCGTTTACTACAGAGCAACTTTTTTCTCATTGAAAAACTCTATTATCCGCGCTCCCATTGTCCTAATGCGATTCTATCTCTCCGTTACAAAAGTACTTTCTATCTAAACGCTCTCTCTTCTGTAACGATGCATTTCTGTTCTCTTCTAAAGGTATGTATTGCATGTGTATGAATTTCATTATCTACACTACTGATATACATCTGTACTTCCGTCGGAACAACCGATAACGCAGATAAGGCGAAATACAAGTTAATTAACTAAATAAACTATGAATCAAGAGAACGTTAAAAAAGAAAAGCATTAATTAATTCCATTCCGAAATAAAATGAAGCGAATACAAAACAATTTAACACATTCATTTGTGTCCAATGAGTACAATTTTTATAAGTGGGGAAAATACAAACTGCATTTATTATTCGCTAAAATTTTTATTTCTATTATTGAAGAAAATTATTTTACTTTCCATCGGAACTTATACTTCTATCATGTTAGAAAATCATTCTACTATCAGATTTAACAAGAAGTTCTCGCTCTATCGTTTTCTACCATCTGGATCTTACATTACGTTTAGTATTTTCTTCCAATCTTTGCGTTTCGTAATGCCAGCTCTTTCGACAGCTATCCTTAAGACAAACACTTGTTCGACTTCCATTTCCTCTACGAAATTCTCCGCCTCGAATGCTGGAACCAACTTAACCCCCGCCGGGACTCTTCCAGGGCTCCTCAGACAGCACTCTTTCATGTAATATTCAAAGCTAGCGATCATCAGCAAGTGCCTGATGGAATGAAGTAAATAAAATATAAATCTTGCCCCGGGAATAAAACTCAAAATTAAACGATTTAAATCCTCCCCTGTCGCATTTACCTCACTGATGTATTTACAATTTTATGATTCAACATGCAGAAAATTCGTTTGAAAATAATAAATGTTTAATTTAATCAAAATTATTTGTTGTATGGTCATAATATAATAGTAATTGTATTTATTGTATATACACCTTTGTTTCATAGTTACTAATGAGTATTTTACTAATGACTATTCAAACATGTACTGTGCCAGTATTTTTGCAATTTTTTCAAATAAAATCATGCGTTTGAATTTTCTATTTACTAAAGCAGTTAATGGGAAAGAAATCCATCGACTCATACGCGACGGTCAGTTTCAAGTCGAGTTTGGATTCGAGCGTTCTTGGACGCTGTCCATGCATCATCCTAATGACACGAGTGTCTCCGCACGTTGCAGCCCGACTTTAATGCGATTTTGGCAGCGCTCGCACGAGGAAACCGTCTCACGCTGGTCTCACGATTTCAAAATAAATTCGATCTCTAAATATTCAAGCCGTCACGGTAAAATGGATTAAGCGTCACTGTATTTATGTAAAACGTTATACATAATTCTCGCCCGTTTATTTGTTGGATCTTAAAATTTAGTAGAGCACCTGTTTAACGAACGTACCTTCGTTGCTATAGTAGTAACAAGAACTTTGCAAGTAATTAATCGATATATTCAGATCAATAGAAAGCGTTTAAAGAAACTATAAAAACTCATTAATGAGTTTTCTTGTTACTGTAATTTAAATTGAAATTAAATCATGTTACGTGCCTAGTACAGAATACAAATAAGACTCAATTAAAATTTATAAAGGAGTAGAAATTAGAAATTTTTACATTCAAATATGGAAATTATGATAAATATCTTTGTGCTAAAGTTTATCTCCACTCTTAATAAATCATCGGCAATCGTTTATTAATTAATTCAGAACGAATTCATGTGCAAGGAAAATTGCAAACCGTATATTCGCTCATAAATAAGATCCCCATAGATACTAAGGTTTATTGATAAACAGAAATTTCAATTTTTAGTAATCTTCCGACAAATATTCATAATTAAATTATTCCAGAATTAGAAGCATCAGAGTCTCATGTTTAAAATGCCGTTTGGTTCATCCCGATCCGATTTCTCATTCATTCCGGAGATATCGTCGCATGAAGACAACCATAAAGTTTTCGGCGCCGCTGTCGCTGTCCTTTTCTTCACACGGCTCGAGGATCTCTTTCACGTCTTGACCCAGTTACTGACCAGCCCTAACCCCCACTGACCCGTTTAAACACCTGCTTGCTAGGCGCTTCCAGGAAATAACGCTTTCATTCTACGAGCGGAAGTCGACAGGGACTCCGCTGTGTCCCTTTAAACGACGAAACTTTGGAAAGTTATCTCCAGAACGAATTGAGATATCGGAATGAACCAAAATGTTCCTCGACGTGACTTACTTGACATTCAACTAAGGGAATTTTCAACAGGAAATTCAGTCTTCTTTTACCGAGTTTACGTTGTTAATCTGCATATTTCATCTTTTAAAGTTCAATAAAATTAAAATTGCAAATCAGATCTGTTTAATTTTTAATTCATATTGAATGGACCAAAAAAGCAGACTATTCAGATAAGATAATACTATTCAGATTTTCGTTTAAAATAGAATGATTATTTTTTTAATCATAGCTTAAAAGTTATTACTGCGATTTTAATCTGTTTCTTTCATATTTAAATGAGAAACGAGCATGTGTGTGTCTATTTGGAAATGAAAAATTTGCATTTGAAAAAACCCGCCGGGGTTCGACTAATTTTTCGGGTAAACCTTAGTAACGAGATAATATTCATGCTGCGAAAGTTCCTCCCGGGAGACCAGGCGAAATGTTCGTTGCCTGTTCCGGCGCAGACTTTTAATCACGTGCGTGGAATTAACATTGCAGCGAAAATTAGAATTGGAATAGTTTCCAGTTTCAATCGATAACGATTTCGAGGGACGATTGAAGTGACACGAAATTAAATGAAATGTATGAAAGTATAACAAGCTCTTATTGAAAACATGATCAGTATATATATTTTACCTATCTTCACACTTGGAATAAAAATGAAAATCTTAAATGCAATTTGAAATTCTTCTCTTCTTTTACAACCGCCGTCGTGAATTATGTAATAAATTATACAAGGGACAAGAAATCAGTTACGGTTACTTTGTACTACCCATATAGCCGCAAGAGGGAAGTTGGTAAAATGATTAAAAACTGTATCTTATTTGAATAGCTGGCTCGCGGAAAAGTCGAACGCAGCGAATGCAAATTCGGGATACATCTCGCAAGAACCGGCCAGAATCATAAATTTAAATACTCCAAGAAGAGGAGCTAGAGTATACACAGTGGATATGCATTGTAAATTGGCTACGGAAAAATCTATACCCGCCGGTTATTTCGATCCGACCGGAACCGATCTCAGTGTATACAATAAGTTCTTTATTACTGACTGCATTTCAAAATAAACAAACAAACCGTTCACTGATCTAGATCCGATCAGATTCCGTGTTTTAAGGGCTCGTAAAACTGAACTGTGTGTAGAATATCGTATACAATATTGCCTATACCTCAAAAATATGTGTACAAGCTCAAATCGATAATGGAGAACTTATAACAATGAATTAATAAAATATTGTCTTGTCAGACGAAACGTATATTTTACTTGATTTCTAAAAGCTCATATAAAATATTACTGAAAGAAACTCTGCAACACTTGAATTGCAAAACATTCAAGTCCATTCGGGTAGCAATGAAATGATCACTAATGAACAATGGGAGAACACGTGTAAGTAGTAATAATGAACGTGAAATGTGGTGGGAAACTGTTATACAGGTGTTCACCGAATTTCTTGACGGTTTCGTGAGATAAACCAAGTTTTACGATTAATCAGGACGGGCTTGCGAGTCCGTAGCCCGAAACCCTCGGCTTCATACATCCCTAATCCGACTCTAATCCAAGCCGTGAAGGTGCCGGTAATAATGCGCAACCGCGGAGCCAAAATCGCATAGAATTGAATTCCAAATGTCGA